TACGTACTGAAAGATTTTACAAATATTATTACATAGTAAAAGATTTTACAAATATTATTACGTACTGAAAGATTTTACAAATATTATTACATAGTAAAAGATTTTACAAATATTATTACGTACTGAAAGATTTTACAAATATTATAACATAGTAAAAGATTTTACAAATATTATTACGTAGTGAAAGATTTTACAAATATTAGAACATAGTAAAAGATTTTACAAATATTATTACGTACTGAAAGATTTTACAAATATTATTACATAGTAAAAGATTTTACAAATATTATTACGTAGTGAAAGATTTTACAAATATTAGAACACAGTGACAGAATTACAAATATTATTACGTATTGACAGATTTTACAAATATTATTACATAGTGACAGATTTTATAAATATTATTACGTAGTGAAAGATTTTACAGATATTATTACGTACTGAAGGATTTAACAAATATTATTTCATACTGAAAGATTTTACAATTATTACGTACTGAAAGATTTTACAAATATTATTATGCACTGAAAGATTTTATAAATATTATTACGTAGTGAAAGTTTTTACAAATATTATTACGTAGTGACTGATTTTACAAATATTATTACGTAGTGAAAGATTTTACAAATATAAGAAGTATATTTGATTGATGTAAGAAGGAAACGAATTCGACAAACACCTTTTACCGGTCGTCGAATAATTTTTTATTGTAAAAATTCAAATTTGAAACTTTGAAAATTAAAAATTACTTTGATCTTTGAAATTCCCTCATAACCGAAGTACCACTCATCCATTTTGACCTAACCATCAAGTTTGAATTAATGAGTAAACACTGGCAATAGGAATTGTATTCAACCACCATTTTGTTCAGTTAAGTTAAATGTAATGGCTACAAGTGATTGGAGATTCTTAAGGCTGAATTTCATTAAATGCAACCCTCGCTAAATATCTTTGTTCTTCCCTTAAAAAAAATCTAAAAAAAAAAAAGATGCTCCATCGTAATATGCCCTCACAATTCGTGGAATCATCAACAAACACTGTGTATTATCAAAGCGAATGTAGTGGCTCTCCAGTCGCAATCTACGGTTGCACTCTCAATGAGAGCTTTTGTACGTTGTTTGAGTCTCAAGTTCACTTCAGATCTCAAGTGGAAGTATTTTTTTTAAGTATATCACCACAAGCAAGGCGAAAGTGCCACTAGCACGTAAGATCTTACAGTGAGAGCAAGGGTAAAGATGTTTGTTTGAGGAAAGGATAAAGAGAAGGACGGGGATCAAAATCAAGGCCTCAAAAAGATGTCGATTGGCATTACATTTGAATGTTTGAAGATTATAGCTATCAGGGAAGCAAGTAAGAGGAAGGGAGTTTCACTGTCGGGAAGTGCAAGATAAGAATCTGTTTGAGTAGAAGAGACGGTTACATTTAACTTTTTCGACTGTGAAAGATTGGGACTGAGATGCCAATCTAGTAGCACGCTTAAATTCATGCAGTATGGGATACCAGTGAAAGTAGCTTGGCAGTGTAGTTTCCAAGAAAATATTTGTAGAAAAGACAGAGGAAAGCCATAACACGTCTATGAGAAAGTGTCGGTGGTCAAGAAGTTAGATCAGGACCTATTATATTGCATATTCATCTCTGGGTTTAGTTGAGGACCTCTAGATGAAAACCGGGGCAACAGACTATATATGACAGCAATATTCAATGCAAGGAAGAATGGTTGATTTTTAGACTAGAAGGATGGACTCAGGCGTAAAAACCTTCTGGCGCGACACAGAGAATCAACTTTCCTTGCGGTAGATGAAGCTATTGATTCAATGTAATTGTTCCACTTCAGGTCAGTGGAAAGTGTGGTACCAAAAAGGCGCAGAGAGGTGCTCTTGTGGAGTTGGGCATCAGCCATTCTGATGTGAGGCAGGAAGGGTACTCTATGGTAGGTAGATGAGAGCAGTTTCGTTTTGAAGGCATTAATGTTTACAAGCCATTTCTTTCCCCAGCCAACCACATGTACAATCCTTTGATAAAGATGCTGGAATAAATGATCCGTTTATTATTCCAGGAAGCACCTGACCCCTGCCACGCCTTGTCTCTACAAGAATTAATTTAGACCAGTGATTCCCAAAATTTATTTTGCCAAACCCCACTAAAGGCCTGATTAACTCCTTGATGACACATAATTCTTATTATTCAAAAAGTGAACAATTACTGACATAGAAGAAGCCTAAAATTTGTTAACTTTGTCTAAAGAAGCTTCCAAAGGACATGGCATCCACGAAAGAAAAGAAAAAAGAACGGAATTTGAAATACTGAGGACGAAATTACAAAGAAATTGTATATATATATATAGTACATACGTAATTACACATGTATCTACAAACATAGAAATATTTTTATGCATTAACCCGAACAGACTCACTCGAAACAACTTCACTGTTAATAATTGCCCCACTTGTAAATCAAAATGCGCCCCACGTGGAAACCAAGATATTAGACCAAAAATGGACTATTGTTGTAATATCTAGACGAATCTGCACGATCCTCATTATCCAGCTTTGAATATTGTGACACTATTTAGCTATGGTAATTGGCTAAGTAGTTAACCATAAAAATTAAACACGGAAATGCTGGAAACGGAGATAGGATAGCCCGAAAGATATATCGTTCGATATTAAAATGATTTGATTTTATTTCCGAAAAAAAGTTACTTTTCACAAAAGAAAGTTGGCCCGTCTAAAAAGCCATATGTGAGATTTTGTCAGATTGATTAATATTGTTGTAAAGAAGTGCCTTGCCGAAAGAAACATTAGAATTCGGGAAAAAGGCAAAGCATTAAGATATCGGGCAGACCATATGGTAGGCATAAAAATTTCGACCTGAGATGATTGCCGATACGGGGTCAAGAGAATCAATGTTAATTATCTTCCCAAAGATATCATTTATTTTTCATTCTTGAGTGCCAGCAAGGCAAAGCCATGTGGTATTAGTAAAAATTTTGGGCATGAGAAAGATTGTGTGAATGAATCGAGATTTGGAAGATACGGAATTTAATTTCTCAAGAAAACAAGGGTTCCAGTAAAAGCTAACTTCATGAAGGGACCAGATTGCAAACTTTGACAGTGATTGATCGAATTTGTAAAGAGTGCAGGCTAAGTGGATTCTGAATGACCAAAAGATCTGATAGATTTTAAGTGGGATTCGTAAAAATTTTGGCCGATGGAAAAAAAAAAAAGAATTTTGTAAACACAAATTCTCGGTTATAATTTTAAGGAGACCAGCTTAGCTACACCCGAAGGTTCGGGATGCCATTGGTAGTGTGGTAGCAATTGTGATAGGCGGAGGTAATTGGATGAGATGGACGGAGAAGTTATTAACGCCCACTGACGGGATTGGTACGAGATATTAATGTGAGAGAGGAAGAGTTTAGGAGGATATCTCTCCTCCGACCTCCCCTCACGGACAAAGGAGATCAATTTTCCTGGCCTGACAACAAAGAAATTTCTTGTTGGAAATCGAGATTTACCGAGAACACCTGACCGCGTCTAACCCTGCACCAGTTTTTGATCGGTACCCATATAAACGAACGTCCTCGGGCCGTTCGACAGTTAGTTCTGGTAGCGGGAACCAGAATGTTGCCTCGCAGAAGCTGACCGAGAGATTCCACAACGTCCGACTTCGCCTATCTACCAATAGCAAGTTATACTGACGAACGAAGACAAGCCAGCACTTAAGAACTAAATCAGTTGACTTAAGATACCAAAACTTGCTTAAGAAACGTAGAAGGGTCACAATCCGTAGAAAATGGATTGGGAGGAAAATACACTCCTGCATATAACAGATGGATAAAGTTAATTTGTTATTTCTTAACATACTTGAACCTCTTGTTTTTTTTCTTTATTTGTTTCTTTTTTCTTTACGCTTGTGCGATATCACCTTCAGTTTGGACTCAACTTACATTACATTACGGCCCGACGCCTCATTGATCTCGTCTACCTAAGATCAAAATCACAACGTGGGTAGGTTAGACTTGAGATCAAAGCAGTTACTTCGGTAACCAGACGTTGGAAGTGAGCTGGGAACGACGGAGCTGGTATCGAACCGGGTACGACCACCGATCGACAGGGACACAGGCTGGAGGCAGCGACTAAGAGTCAACCCCAAAACGCCGGTGGAAGAAACATTGCAGCTTCGCGCCACGATTGGGAGTTGACGACGGGCCGACAGCGCAGTGTCACAATAGAGTCCAAAATTGTTTACACTGCCTTTTATGTGATGACATTTTTATAGCCTCTTTCGCATAGACCTAACGTTGCAAGCCTATCACTACCGTATCGCTATTTCCATGGCAAATGTTCAAATGAGCTCCATTCTTAATTTTACTAGTTCTGGATCTTTACAGCTATGGTACGTCGTGCTACTTCAACAAAGTTGTATCATCCTAATCCCCCCCGTGTTTCAAATTACGGAAGAAAGTACTTTTCAGCATGTTTCCAAGTGTTGACACCTTATAGAACAGAACCTGCGCAGGTGCTATATTGAACACACTACTGTACTGTACTGTACTGTACTGATGCGGCATTCACCCTGGGCGGATTGAGCCGGATTCTTCCTGTTATGAGAAGAAGATTCTTGGGATAAATTACAGAAGTAGGGTACCCAGGCCTGCTCAGTAGGGTACCCAGGCCTACTCTATATTGAACACACCAATCTTGAATGAATGATTATGTTGTCATTACACTTATACTCTTCATTCTCTACCCCATTCTTATCCATTTGCATTCCACGCCCCCACCCATTTATAATTAACATTTTAATTGTAACCTTCTATTTTCAGTGTCTGTCGAACCTTTGTTTTTGGTGATATTTAGTAAAAAAGAAAAATGGATATTTGAGTTCGACAAAGACAATAAAAACAGCTTATGTTCACAATGCTAGACATTCAACTTTTCTCGAGTGAAATCTCATTCTTGTAGGCTTACGGCCGCATCACTTTAAATAAAAAAATTGGTTCACGTAAGATCACCAAAGTTAAGGCACGTCAAGCCTGGTCAGTACCTAGATGGGTGACCGCTTGCGAATACCAGGTGCTGTAAGCTTGAATGTGCAGGTGGTGTTATGGATAGTGGCTCGGAATTGTTAATCGGAGAGCCGAGTTCCAATACAAGTTGGGTTATATCTACTTACGCGGAAATACCCCATCGAAGAGAGTACTGAATAAGACAAAAGTTTAACACGTCTACGCCAAACGAAGTGTAGCAGTGAATATGAGCAGAATGTAACTTCTTCCATCTGTTTATGTTTTTACATATATATATATATATATATATATATATATATATGTACTATTTACATTATTCGGACTGTTCATCTTTGTCGCCATATTTATCACAACGTTTCAGCCGTTGTACGCTCCAGCCTTCTTCAGGTGGTTGGAATGTCGAACTGAACCCTTTATTTCGCTCACTGGGGTAGACTGTTCTAGTTCCACGTTTCTTGTCTAATGGATGTCAGTTATCTCCTGTTAAACATGGCGACAATGATGAGGACAATAGTCCGAATAATGTAAATAGTGTACATAATACCTCATCTCAGAAATATAGACAGATACTGAGGGATCGGTACGGACCCGATACACTCTGTGATAAACATGGCGACAAAGATGCGGACAATAGTCCGAATAATATATATATATATATATATATATATATATATATATATATATATATATATATATTTATATATTCTGTTTATACGTTACATTTATATATGTAATTTATTTAATTAAATACTCTGTTTTTAATTAAACTATATATATTAGATTTAGCAACCAGAATGTTCGAGAAATTTGTGCGAGAGAAGAAACTATTAGAATAGAACTTGCGATAACTTATAGCAATTTCAACTTTAAAATGATGAGACATAGCGGCCAATCTCGTTCTACGCTTAAATTCATGAATTCGAGGTACGAATGAAGAAAGCTCATCTGTTGCGAAGGAGGAATGTAGGTCGCAAATCAGTTTTAGTTTTATATAAGTTTTGAACTCACAGCTTTTGTGAATGATTTAGCAGACAGTAGTGTTATTATCTGTTGGCAGTATTTCATTTGTTCAATTGATAACAGCATTATACTAAACCTGAAAATATTCTCTTTTTGTAGTTGAATATTTTTAAGTTCACTTTAACTCGTTTATTTGCACTGACAGGCGGGCCATGAATACCATTTAAGGAAAGTCTGGCTCTTCTGAAGTTCACCAATAGAAATTGTGAATTTTAATTTGTTCCCGAGACATTACTTAAGTAGACTGGTCCACTCGTAAAAAGTAGGGATTAAAAAAAATAATGTTTGGAAATTTGCATTCATTAGACCTTCCTCAAGCCACAACATTTGTCACAATTATGATTCATTAGGCCTTGCTCAAGCCACATTTTCAGAATTACCATTCATTAGACCTTCCTTAAGTCACAATATTTATCAGAATGAGCATTCATTAGGCCTTCCTCAAGCCACGCCATTTGTCAAAATTAGCATTCATTAGGCCTTCCTCAAGCCACGACACTTAGAATTATCATTCATTAGGCTTTGTTCAAGCCACATTTTCAGAATTACCATTCATTAGGCCTTCCTTAAGCCACAATATTTATCCGAATGAGCATTCATTAAACCTTCCCCAAGTCACGACATTTGTCAGAATCGAAAAATACTGATTTTTATGGATTTAGATGGGGATTCCTTAGAAGCATACGCATGAAAACCGAACTCGGGCTTTCACCATCTGTGTAGTGTTGCAGCTCAGACGAGGCACCAGGTTCGTTGATATTGTGCAGCTTCTTCTACTCAAACGCTTGTAGCTTAAAATAACCCTTCAGCCAGATCTTTACCCACGAATGAAAGCCATGAAAATTTCTAACAGTAAATCAGATTTTATTATTGTGCCATAACCTACTGCTATAGACGAATGAAGCTGAGATGAAGCGTAGGTCAAGGGGGAGGTGAACCGACTAACGAGCGTCTGTTGTCCTCGGTGGTAACTTCCAGCCTTTCTGACTTTTGGCGGCCATTAGCAACTGTTTTATAGAGAACATTGTTCTTTTCTTATCAGCTTTGTCTACATAAGTAATTTATCTTCATTGAGTGATCTTCTCTTTGTCCGGGCCGCGTGACATATATTTGTGAAGTCCACTTTACTTACTGATAACTACCGTAAAAAATAAATGGCTGAATCAATTTTGGTGACAGGTCTAGTTGTATTTCCTTCTAATAAGATATCATCTGCATTAGGCTTTTATTTAGGAATGTCAATCTTTTGTCGTATTCTAACACATGATGAAAAATGCGTTTTGCATATCAACAGAAAACAGTTGTCTCAAATGAAGTAAACGGTGGCAACACCAACACATGTGGTATCTACAGAAGCCATTGTTTTGTGCCTGGTGGAATATGAAAACTGTCGCCGATTATGAGTTGCTGGAACAGTGAAGAACCATCAATAAAGACTTTTATTACCAGCAACTTAATATGGTAAATGAAGCATTGCGTTGAAAATGTTCTGATTTGTTTATAGAAATAAGGTGTTATTTTCCAGCATATCAATGCAAGGATATACTCTACAAAACAAACAGCTTATGGCCACATCACGTTGAAGCACCGGTTTCCGTGCAATAACTAAAGTTAAGAAACATCGAACTTGGTCAGTATTTAGGCGCGTGACCGTTTGCGAATACCATGTTCTGTGTGGGTAATGTAACTATTAATGGGTTGGAATTTTTAATTGAAGAGCCCATTTCTAATTCCCGTTCGGTTTGTTGTATTCACTTACGCGCAAATAGACTTGAGAAAGGCATGAGCCCACATTTCTCCTTTTGCTATGGTTAATTAGTAAGACTTTCATTACTTAACCATTATTATCTCTCCATAAAAATCTAAAAATATTTTCTAGTTTTAAAACGCCTGCTATGGGTAAATAGCAGGACAGACTGGGTTCTATAGTCTTGGATGGCAACTGGTCTAGGAGAAGGAAAACTCTGAATTCAAACCTGCTCTTAGAGGAGGGTGAATGGAGTCTCTCTGAGCCTTGGTTGGCAATCCATTTAGTGTTGGTGTCACGATAAAAACACCCTTGATAGCCCTAGCGAAGCATCAAGAATTCAGCTATTTGGCAAGATTATGAACTACACCAATCAAAGTATTGTTGAGTTCAGTCTCGGCTGAGGCCGCAAGATGAGATGATGAAGGGTCGATAGGCCGTGGAAAATGAATCAATGAATCAAATATTGATTAGCTACAAAGGCAGGTGTTTTAGATGTATCTAAATTACCTGGAATACAAATGTGCAGAAACAAACTTGACCACAAAGTGAGGGATCAGTTTATATACTGGTTCTAATATAGAACTCATCCCCATTTTATACCCACATTATAATTTCTTGTTTATCAAATTTTTTGATGAATTCACCTCGTCTCCCTTAATTAGTAAGAATTCAATCACTAAAATAATATCTTTCCAAAAGATCTCTTGCAATCTAAAAAAGACTTTCTGGTTTAAATAACCTCCAAAGGGTTGATAAGCCGTAAAAGTATGAATCAATTAAATCATACAAATGAAACTCAAGAAATAATAAAATCGTTAGGTTTTCCATATCCTACATATTTGACAATTTTAGCACTGGCTGATTTTGTTTCGTTTCAGATACCACAGCATTTGATTAGTGCCCCAAGTAGTGCCTCTCCTTCGGATGGTGGTTTTATTTTCAAAAAGATGAAGTAACGAGGGGACTTGAGTAATTTTCCCAAGGTATTGCCATTAAACCCACTTTAAACTGAACTTGTGTCACATTTGGTTTTAAAGAAATTTAACCTCCATTTACGTATCTAAGCTTTCTCGTTCAATGTCATTACTTTCGGAGCACTCTAACATCTAAAGAAATTTAAATGACATTTAACATATAGATTTTTCAGTTAAACGTATTTTGTTTCCAAAAAACTAATATTTAAATAGCTTAAATTCAAATAACTTAAATAGCTTAAATTTATTTTGTATATTTATCAGTCTAAACGTAATTATTTTCGGAACACACTAATACTTGACTAATTCGATGGAATTACAAGTTTTTTTCTTTTCATTATGCAACTACCAACGGAGACAAGCATCCTAACTTTGACAAATTTTCTTTTAAATTTGTTTTTATTTTTCATATGCTTCCTTGTAAACAGCAAATTAGGTTCTGAACTGATATGTCCCGGAAGCTAAGTGGTTTTGGGTACTGTAACCGAGTAGGACAATCTAGCAGGTAACCGTAATGGACTGGTCCTCGTCGTACTGGTAGGCAATAGGCGTAGACCAAAAGGCGTAGACCAATAGGCGTAAACCATGTACCTCCACACCAGTCTGTATTTATGGCTGACACCAGACACTCATATTACTGTGAGGGGGAACCCAGGTGTATGCATATTCATTACATCACGAACACGCTAATATTCAAATATATTTCACTTATATTTGATTTTATATAATTTTTACGAAAACCTAGTTACTTAACGAATATCTTAATATTTTTACAAAGGTAAAATGTCGCTGGAGTAGAGTGGCAACGAAGCTTGACAGGTAAGAATGTCTTCGTTCTTTGTAATGTTATTTGCTTGTACCACAATCTCCCTTAGGACAGCCCCCTCCAAAGAAAAAAAAAAGATGAAGATGTATTTCTTTCAGTAGTCTTAATCCGATAATGAACCGTGTTACACCGACAATCATTTGCTTATATGTGCCTTCGGAAACTCTAACTTGTGAGATCTTTGCATAATTTGCGTAATTTCTAAGCGATTTATTCCTCCTCATCTTTTCTTTAGAGAAGAGTTTGCGGGTAGGTTTTTGGATAAGGCGTACGAGATTACATGGCCAGTAAATCTGGCTTTCGTTCAAAAAGGATTTGCCAGAACAATTTTCCATACCTTCCAGACAGCGAATACTCACCGTCACACACACAAACATATATATATATATATATATATATATATATATATATATATATATATATATATATATATATATATACAAGTATAGGATTGGTGTATACGGAATAAATTCCAGCAACCCAAAA